TGTTGTTAATTCCAATGATTAGTAAATGTTCTTTATACTCACTGAATTAATGATTAATGCGAATAAAATGATTTGAAAGGTATAACATAATAGTAATGATAAATAAGTATTTATGATCTTGTTTTGTGAACTTGCTTTTATGTTCAAAATTTCAAGATTAATAAATGTTCTTTATACTCATTAACTAAATTAATGCGAATGAAATGATTTAAAGAGTATTATATAATAGTTATTATATAATAGTAATAGTAAATAAGTATTATGTTCTTAATTTGTAAACTTGCTTTGCTGTTCAAAATTCTAATGATTAATAAATAGATGTTTTTTATACTCACTTACTGAATAAATAATTAATGTGAATGAATGATTACATCATAGTAATGGTAAATAAGTATTTATGTTCTTGATTCGTGAACTTGCTTTGTTGTTTAAAACTTCAATAATTAATAATGTTCTTTATACTTACGAGCTAAATTAATACAAGCAATTAATTAATATTTATGAACTTAATTGTAATTAACTGATTTTTTTATATTTACTCTCTAATAAATAAATTTTATTATTAAAAGTCTATAAAAATATTTTCAATTTTTAAATTACTAAAAATTGAAAACTTTACTTTTCAATCCATTCGTTAAACTTAATTATGTTCTTTTCTATATCAATTCTATAATAGTAACAGAAAGCAGTTTTCCAAATTCTATTTAAATTACCTGCCTTGGCTGATTTCAGATAATTTTCGAATGTTTTTTGCTTATTAACTTCAACTCCAATTCCTAAATTATAACAATAACCAACTTGATACAGTCTGTCAGGATTATTAAAGTTGGTGGATTTTTGATAATTAATGAATACTTGTTTTCATTCTTTTCAACCCCTATTTCAAATTCGTAACAGTAATCAAGTCAATAATTATTTACTTTATTTTTATTTGCAAATTTTTTACAATCATCGAAATTTAGTTGTTTAAAAGCATTTTCTTGTTCTATTTGAATTTGCAAAAAAAAATATGTTAAAAAACTAGATTTAGTAGCATCCAAATTAGCATTAGTGATTTTATGACAACTATGCAGATAAACCTGACCTAAATTGTTTAATTTAAATTTTCTTTATTATAGAACAAAAATAATTATTGTTCTCGTGATATCACTGTGCTATTTGAGATAATCTTAACCTCGCTGAATTTTTTAAATTAACTCTAATAAAAGTAATAAATAGCTATTAATAAGCAGATAACATATATACATCAGACAGAAAAATGCCAAATAAATGTTTAATATTTTTAGATCTAAACTTATTCTATAGAAATTTACCAATCAGCCATACAATTTTTTTTTTTAAATCAATCATTTAACTCAATTAAAAGTCAAACTCACAATCGAATAATAAATTAAACTGTCGAGCAGTTAATATTCTAATGCCAGCATACAAAAATAAAATTAAAATGATACATAAAACATAACTAATGCAAATCAATAAAACATCTAATTGTAACGAAGATCATTGTGAAAAAATCACTCACATGATATGAAAAAAATATGATAAAATTTTTTTGGGAGTGTATGCTCAGATAAATCCAGGAATTCAGATAGTTTATCCAATAAGACAATAATAAAAATTTTTTACAAAAATCTTTACTGCTTTAGTTAAAAAGGAAAAGTAACTGGTCATTAGTAAAACCTGCAATCCAATTGCAAAACAAACACATGAACAATCACTTTCATAATCAGAAATGATCGAAGTTTTATTACTTTTCATTAGTTTCATTTACCTTTCAGTTTCGTCACCTTTCGTCAGTTTTACTATTTCAATTTTTTTTTGATGAAAGACGAAACTAGGTTTCAAATTTCATCAATGATGAAACCCTTAGGTTTCATTTAACAACATTAATTGCAATATTATATTATTTTAATACAATAGCATTATGGTATCTAGATACAATAGCATTATTGTATTTTGATATAACAGCATTACAGTTACAGCATTATGGCTCAAAGAAATTATGAAAAATAATATGACACATGCCATAATCATATTAATTTGTTAAATGAATTCTTCCACCAACTATACTCATGCCCATGCCTATGCCTGTGCCCATGCCCATATCCATTCCATGCCCATGCCTATGACTATGATCATGCCATTCTATGCTCATGCCTATGACCATGCATGAATTTTTATACCTATACCCATGCCCATGCCTAAGTTTTCATGCTCATGCTCATGCCCATGCCTAAGCTTTTATGCCTATGTCCATGCCTGTATTTTTTGTTAGACATGGGCATGAGCTCAGGTTGCAGACCCCTAATTGCAACTGAGGATTTATTAGTCTTGATTGGTGATCAGTAATAATTGTATTTTTAAGTATAGTAAACCATAGTGGTTTATAGCCTTTAGGTATGTATTGTAATTGTGGAGATATATGCTTCTAATTAAGTAATATAGAGTTGTTATATGATGTTAGTTGCTCAAAATATATTATTTTTTTAGTACATAGTTGTTTTTTGAACTGTGTATAGAGTTTATGAGTGTGAAGAAATTGTTCAATAGGTGTATATGAGTATTGAAGTGTATAGGGTCTAAGAATATTAGGATTTGTTTATAGAGTTATCTGAAGCTTGTTAAATAGTTATATGATTTTGTAGGTAGTTGTGTTTTTATTAAGTCCATCTATATATAGATGAGAATTAACAACAACATTGTTGTTGAAAAACATATATTACGCTAATTCTGTAATGCTATGCAAGAATTTATAACTCACATAGCAGGTTATATTTTAATCATTATATGAATTTTAATTCTTGCATTAAAATTATAAAATTACAAACTTAACAATTCTGCTTTCCGCTCTAAAGTATATTACGCTAAGTGTATGACACTTATGCAAGAATTTAAAAACCGAATAGTTAAATTGATCACCACCCCTGCCCTTGATATTCTGAACATTCTGTTATCAGTACTAATAAAAAAAATTATATTCAATAAAAAAAAATTATATTTAATAAAAAGAACTATATATAAAAAATATATGTTATATATATCTGTATAAAATAAGAATTAATGATACATTACATAATTCCGAATCATGTGATCTGTGTAATGATTACGATGTGAATTTAATCAAAAGTATAAAAAAACAAAAATAAATAAAGGGTCCTGATTTTTCCACACCCTTTTTTTATATTTCCACACCCCCTGCACATATAAGTAGCGCATGTGATAACAGAATAAAATAATATATACATACGTATATACGTACGAACTCTTGTGATATCTAGAGGTGTGGTAAAAAACTATTATAGTATAAGCCATAACAATTTTATCGCATTTCTTGCTAGACGTGATATAAAGTACTTTGGCGATATTTTAACATATAGTACTTTGGCAGTATTAAATAGTTAAATGCAATACAAATGATTTTATAAGTGACGGTCATCATAAGATGATGTAATTATTTGTGTAATAGTTTCACTCAAGAGCATAAAGTGTATTTGATTAGTGATGAATACATCATATATAGTAGCATATGTTTAATATAAAAGAAAAATTTGTAAGAAAAAAACTTTTTTTTTACTTACACGCTTGTGTTAGTTATCATATTTTTCTTACCTAAATAATAACTATGGACAATCATAATACAAATGACTATGTTAGCTCCTTCTGCCAGTAGTCAATTTCAAAGCCGAGATTCTTTAATTAGATTTGTACAAACATTTGGTGCTTCTAATGGCTATGCCATATCTATTGCAAGATCAAAAGAACGTAAAGTGTATTTGTGTTGTGATCGGAGTAGAAGATATAGAAATCAGTTAAATCTCACAGATGAAACACGTAAAAAAAAAACTGGTACTAGGTTAATTGAATGCCCTTTCTCAGTGTGTGGTACCAAAGGATTAAATAATGTATAGACATTATCGATTTGAAATCCAACACACAATCATGGTCCATTAGAAAATATATCTGCTTATCCATCTCTTAGAAGGTTGGATACACAAGTGCAAAAACAGTTGAGCGAAATAACAAATGCAGGGGTCTGTCCCCATAAAATATTATCATCCCTTCGCCAGAATAATCCTTCAATATCAACAATATCACAGGACATTTATAACATTCATACAAAGCTTTGTCAAGAAAATTTACAAGGATGTATCTCTGTTCAGGCACTTTTAGAAAATCTCAAGAAAGGTCAATTCAAGTATAACTATAAGTATGATAATGATGGACATGTAACACACCTTTTTTTTTCCCATTATAAGTCTATTGAGCTTGTACGCACCTATTCTTCTATATTGCTTATGGACTGCACCTATAGAACCAATAAATTCAAAATGCTCCTTCTTAATGTTGTTAGTGTAACAAGTTTTAATACAACGTTTTTCGTATGTTTTATATTTATTAAAGATGAGAAAGTGGAGGATTATGTGTAAGCATTATCTCAAATATCTCAGTTATTTAACGGTATTGAAAAACCAAAAGTTATCGTAACTGACCGAGAACTGGCACTTATGCATGCTCTTGAACATACGTTCCCTGATTCAAAAAACCTTCTTTGCATTTGGCATATAGAGAAGAATATTCTTACTAAATGTAAAAGCCATTTCTGTACTGAAGAGGAGTGGGTAGCATTTCTTCAATGTTGGACAAGCATAGTAAAATCCAAAACGGATAATGATTTTTATACACAATGGACTGAATTATGTATCAAATACAATGAGTTCCCATTAATTATTAACTATATTCAAAATACGTGGTTGCTCTTTAAAGAGAAATTTATTAGTGCGTAGGCTGATCAGTATTTTCATACAGGCACCACAGAGACATCTCGTGTAGAGGGAGCACATGCAATATTAAAGAGATACTTGCAAGTCTCAGTAGGCAATTTACATTTGGTGTATCAAAAAATTTCATTATTGTTAGAAAATCAGCATAATGAAATTAAAGAGTTGGTTGAAAAAAACAAAACTTGTGTACCCTATACTCAAAGTATTCCCTTTTATGCTAGATTGGTTACCAATATTTCTTTATATACTTTAAAAAAAATATACAAACAATTTATTAAAGCTTCAAATGCAACTCACGATAACTCTCTTGAACCATGTACTGGTACATTCAATGCGTCGATGGGTCTTCCGTGTGCACATCTTATTCAAAAACGTTTGGCAAATAATCAATTACTGGATCTTAGTGATATTTATCAATACTGATAGATTAATGATTACTATTTACCTTTACAAAATCATATTGAAAATGAAGAACATTCTTTATCACAACTATTAGAAAAGTTCCGCCAGCAATATGTCTCTTGGTCGGCTTCCCAACAAGAAGCAGCATGAAATGAATTGTCAACTTTAATTCAAGAACCACCTTTGGTCTTATTGGATCCAACAATACAACATCCTAGAGGATGACCAACTGGTTCATTAAACAAGATTCAGTCTTCTACTAGAAGGAATCCATCCGAATTTGAAATAGAGAAAGCTAGGATAAATAGAAGAAAATGTGGTATATGCAAAAAAAATAGATATAACAGTAGGACGTGTCCTGACCATGCAATAGATGCATCTTAAATGGCGTTTTTTTTTTTACATTAGTAATAAAAGGCAATATGTTATATACTTTGCGATTGTAGTACTAAAGAACAGCATTTCATATTAATCATATTATTTGCTGCTAAAATTGCATGTTTAATGTGTGTTTATAATGCAAACAATTCTATTTTATTTTTGAATTTATGATGATATTAATCTTATAATCTTGCAGTTGTTAGAGCGATACTAATTTTATTGATCTTTCCAGAACCCATACGAAAAGAACCTGACCGATCATGTGAATTTAATAGAATACTAATTTTTCGTATTCCATAAGTATTATATTCACTCATCTAATTCTATTCTTTTATCTTACGTTTTTTATCCATCAAACTCCATATCTATCATTAAGATTTTAAAAGTTTAGAATCGATTTGATAATTGTATAAATTATTCGAGAGAAATTTAGTAAAATTATTAAGATTTTATGTTAGGCTACATTTAAATAAATAAAGAAAAAAAAATCGATCATTTGTATTTTTTATAATTGGTTATTACCATTATACAGTAGCAGTAACAAAAGCAATAATAAAATGGGTCATATATTTATCAAATTTAAACTGTAATATGTATTGATATAACATGCGCCACTTATATGTGCAGAGGGTGTGAAAATATAAAAAAAGGGTGTGGAAAAATCAGGACCCTAAATAAATAAATGTTAAAAATAAAAAATAAAAACTAAAAAAATAAAAAATAAATAGTAAAAAAATAAAAAATTAAAAAAATTAAAAAAATAAAAAAATAAACAACTAAATAATAAATAAAATTAATAAAATTAAATAAACAAAAATACAAAAAATATTAATAAAAA